ATTCATCTTGACTATCATTATTTTCATTGATAGGGTCAAAAGAACAACTTAATCTTGACTTAATTTTTTGAATCGCATGGTATACATAACTTATAGTCGAATATTGACTTTCCTCCAGCTTTTCAATAGTTTCAGCAAATGGTTCTAAAATTAGTATTTCAAATTAAAAACCAAAAGATACAATCGATTAGTTGGCCAAAATTTTTAAAAAATCGATTAATAAATATAAAACCAATTTAAATGAGTTGATATTGATGGGAGTCAAGTGTATTAAAAACTAATTAAATAATTGAGTTATTTAATAAATTATTAATTAGTTGTCAACTTGATCGTGTACACTTCTTTGTACCAGTGATATAACCCCAAATAAGAAAATTTTCTTATATAGATTGCAAGATCAGTGGTGTAATATGAAACAAAGACTTTTTCAAAAAATTGCCGGTAACTCAAATTCTGTCTAAGAAATTACTTTTATATTATAATAAAAAAATTCTTGCAAATTTTAGAATATACTAATTCTAACTCCAACTATAACTCTAAAGTTATGACTCACGTGCAAATAAAAAAATATATTAGTTTTTTCTTTTTTTGGGTTTGTATCACTCGCACAAATAAGTAAATCCCAACTTGATTATATAATCAATTTTTAATTTGAAACACTATCTAGAACTGGCATAACCTCTTCGATAAATAACTATTTTTCAGAAGTTAGATTATTTTTTCTAACTGCTTTCCATCTTTTTTTGTTTCCACATCAGCATTCTTTATATTTATTATTGTAGAAAGAATATCAATGAATGGTCTTAAAATTAACAAATGACCCTATGCATTAAAAGTACTTGACCATCATGTTTCACAATCAGTAAATGCATGATAAAAAACTAATTGTGATTCATTTATTGATTCATCTTCAATATTTGTGCTTATAGCATATTACTTTTGAACATTAATTAATCTCTCACATTGCTTAGAACAGGTAAAAAAGTTAATTAGTCTTCGTGCTCTTGCAATTAGAACTTTGGCTAGTAGCATTTCTTTTCCAACTACTAATTAAATAGTGTGTGCTGCACACGAGACTCTTTTAAGCCAAGAAATTTGATTAAGTGTTTTTTTCATATTTGTGCTATTATTGGTAGTGTAGCAAAATACTTTATTGTTTAACTTCTATTTAGTTATAACTATTTCTAGAGCTTCTTGAATATGATCACCAGTATGAGGATATGGAAGATTTTTAATCATCAAGGTAGCTTCTTTAAACTCAAAATTAGGTATTATAAAATGTGCAGTGACTCCAAAAAATTTTATCTTAGAGCAAGAGGTCCATAAATCACATGTAAGTGATACCCAACTTGCTTCGCACTCTAATAATTCTGAAATTTTTAAACTAACATAATTTTTAAACTCAAAAATTTTTCTTTTAAATTTTTTACGATTAGGAATATCGAATACTAGAATGGATTTATTAATAAAACGTTGGAATAAAGGTGATTCAAGCATATATAAAGGCAGAGTCTCTAGAATAAACCACTCATAGAGAAGTTGTTCAAGATATTTTTACTATTTTTGGTAATTGTCGTGAAAGATTCATCTTGATTAGTTGATCTTGTAGGTAAGGGCGTATTTTTAAATATTTGATACATAACCGCTAAATGATTAATAATATTTCCAGTTGAACCTTTTGTCATAATTTTAGAAGTATAGTCTTTTCTGTTTAATAACTTGTTGGTATATATGAAAATTCTTCCAGTTTTGTCTGGTAATTCTTGACATTCACCCATTCCCAAACCCAACTAATTAATTTGATTCTTTCTTTAGATTTTGTTATATTTTTTGGCTAGTTGTTTGTTAATAAAAATGTAGAAGAGGATGTATCTGAAGAGGTAAACATAGAAGAAGATTTATCTGAAAAGGTAGACGAAGACATAACTAAAGTGCTATTATTTTACTATCAAAATATTTTATTGATATTAAATTTTTTGATAAAAAATTTTTATTACATTAGATTGATGTAAAAAATCGATAAATTAAATTTGCGTTCTTATGACACAAAGTAATTATGGTAGTTTTAATACTGTAATAAAGATAATCCAGGGTACAAAATTCTATTGTAACCGGAGGTTCAGTTTATTTCTGGCATAATTTTAAAGTAGCCAGAAATTTGATAATATAAATA